CCTTGGAAGATTGGGCTGAGGTTCATTTATGGTTATGCGAAGCAACTTAGTTTTGTATGACACACTTTGCAAACTGCATGCATCTTATGTTAGTTCCAAGACAGGCTCAAATGTAACATACATATCCAGAATTCCCATCTTATTTATTGTCTCAAGAAACCTGTCAATATCCAAGTCCTCCTTGAATTCATTCCTGCCTGTCCATAGAGTTCTTCCATGCAGCCTATACCACACCTTAAACCTCTTAACCACACTATAGGAAATATTTCAAGCATTACCCCAAACTTGAACCTCACGATCTTCATACACTTAAGCATGGTGGCGTCCAAAGGAAAAGAAGCTAGAGCAAAAGAGTCGCCAACAAGTTTTAGGAACTTGTAAACCGTTCACAGGATGAAGGTTACACCCCTTAAAGATCTAAGAGATTTTTAACTCCAATAGGTCTGGAACCAAGACTGGAAGTTCAGGGATGAAAGTACAAATCCAATCTAAAAGAGAAAGAACCTTCCCTAAAAAAAGGCCTCTACTTTATTCTTCTCGTATTCATGTGCGCTTTCTGATTAACATGCAATCATTAGGTTAACCCTTAACCTGTTTAAACAATGTTGGTTGAATATTAATGCACAAACAAAACTATTATTGGCGATCACTTGAATAATAATCAAATTAACCCTAAACAAGATTATTAATTATCTTATTAAGCGTGATTACAAGTACCAATTCCCTTTAAACATGCACAAAAGGCGTGATCAAGCAATAACAATAAATATATCAAGCAACATAATAATAATCATAACAATTATAAAAATTATAATCATATTTAAAATAATCATATCAACGCTAAAGCATAATAATAGAAAGATCCTAGGCATGATACTAACAAGATTAATAACAAACCCTAGCTACTAAGCATTAAAAATTAAAGCTTTAGCCGTAACATGATACTAACATGCTATTAAGAAAGAAAATAGGAAGCATCACAGAAATCATAATTGATGTAAGGAACTTATTGTTGTCACCCTAAACATCATACTAAGAAAAGCATCCTAACATGATACTAAGAAAAACATACTAAACATGATTCTAGGAAGCGATAAAACATCCTAAACATGATTTCTATATCATAATATCAATAAAACAATTAAAGTACTTACTTAGATGCCTCGTACCTCTTTCTAATAACAAAATACACACATTAGTAACTTCAAGGAAAATATAAAATCAATCAATTAAATTAAATAATTAAAATAGAAATTAAGGACCAAACCCTCAGAAATATCAAGCCTTTCACGTCTAGGGCGAAGGCAACTTCGAATTATGCTAGGTGTGTCTAGATCTTGTAGATTTAGAATTTTGTTTGTAAAAATCCAGTTTAGAAAGGAGAAAGAGTATTAAGAATTTCTTGATGAGAGTTGGTGATTGAAAACGGAGGTCTAAGGAGGCTATTTATAACGAAAATCAGCTGGATATGACAAAAAAAAAAATTAAAGTTTCGAAAAGAATAAAACACGACGCTGTCGCCAAACACACGTCTGTCGCCAGACGGCAGAGCTGTTGCCAGACGCCAGCAATGTCGCCGCGACTCCAGGTCTGTCACCAGGCGACAAACTATAGTTGCGACACTGTAATCAGTTTTTCCACGCATTTTCTTATTTTGATAAAATTTAAGTGTGCGAGGGGATAAAACTATAATTTCATTAAAAACACTTCTTTTATTCTAATTAAAACTTTTAAAAGTCAATTTTTCAATGCTAATCAAATTAGGATTTAAAAGAACGTTCTAGAAGATTCTAGAAGACTGCAATCAATCCTAATTGCATTCGGAATGATAAATCATAATAGGCCCTCCTCTAGATCATTGGGCCGCATATAAAATCAAATCGGGCCCAGTTTAGTAATTTGACCATAACTTCCTCATTATTCATCGGAATTGGGCATATAATATATCGTTGGAAAGATCTTTTCGAACCCAACCCAACTACACAACTATTGTACCCTTTTCATGGACCAAACCAAACTGATTGTCTATTTTCATAAAACAGGTTTTCAAAAACAAAGAGAAAGAAAAGAATTAAAAACTAACCACAACACAGACTTTCGACACTTTCACTTTGTTCGATAATCAAATGACATAAAAGGTATTCATCAGTGAGTTTTGTTTTTGGGAGACACATTTGGGTGTCTACAAAAGCCCGCACTTTGACTGAGTTTGGAGAAACGCGAGTTTCGAAAACAATAGTCAAAGTATCGATAGGGACGGAGAATGATTCAGAACGTTCTGCGATCCTAAATCATTCTTGTAACGCCGATACCTGCAAATTAGCGTTAGTTAAACAGATAAGAGAGTTAAGAAACGCGTATCTTGCACTGTCGAGCACACGTCTCTGTAGGTAACCGATTTGTTGCATTTTGTTGTTGTGACAACCTTCCACAAGCTAGGGAACGCCATCGATCAATGTTGCTACATCTCGAGCCTTTTTCTTGAATCATAGTGACAACCTCCCAATCATAGCAAAATTCGTCTAAGACCGCCTCATCACGAACCGCTGTTCTCACATCTTGGTGACAACCTCCACAATCTTAGCGAATGCCGTCAAAGACTGCCTATCTCGTGCTATCTTCTCAAATCTTTGGTGACAACCTCCACAATCTTAGCGAATGTCGCTGAAGACCTCCCATCTCTTGCTATCTTCTCAAATCTTGGTGACAACCTCCACAATCTTAGAGAATGTTGTCAAAGACCGCCCATCTCGTGCTATCTTCTCAAATCTTGGTGACAACCTCCACAATCTTAGCGAATGATGTCGAAGACCGCCCATCTCGTGCTATCTTCTCAAATCTTGGTGACAACCTCCACAATCTTAGCGAATGCTGTCGAAGACCGCCCATCTCGTGCTATCTTCTCAAATCTTGGTGACAACCTCCACAATCTTAGCGAATGTTGTCGAAGACCACCCATCTCGTGCTATCTTCTCAAATCTTTGGTGACAACGTCCACATTCATAGCGAAAGCTGTCGAAGACCGCCCATCTCGTGCTATCTTCTCAAATCTTTGGTGACAACGTCCACAATCTTAGTGAATGCTGTCGAAGATAACTTCATTTGAAGTCATCCTCAGTTGTTGCGATAATATTCTAAAGGAAACTACCGAAGACCAACGCATGTTGATCCTTAATGCTGCTTGAATTTTGCTTTTGCTATGCCAGTGCGTCGGCGCTTTTGTTGCTTTGTGAACCAGTATGAGCCAATGCTAAGGCGCTTTAAGCTAAATGAGATGATCTTTTGTCAGGTCGATCACTTAATGTGATTGTAACCAAGCCGATTACTAAATCATGTCAAATTGCTTAGAGGGGCTAATTGGAGTACCAAGGAATCCGGAAATTTCTACACTAGGCCCGCATAAACTAATATGGGGGCCACACATTGTGTCGCCGCACTAGCGCCTGCTTGGAAAATGTGTCGCCACACTTTGCTTCTGTCGCCAGGAGAGAAATGTTGTCGCCAGGCTACAACCTTGTCATCTGGAGCTGGAGTCGGGTCTTCCTTATTTTGCTCTTGCTTCTGCTGCTCGTTGCTCAGTTTCGCTCCGAACTTTGAACTTGGTCGTTTCCTTTTCAGCCAAATCCGCTCAAATCTTTTGTAAATTAAAGCTCTTCATCTCTAATTTACTGACCTATGTAACTCCTCTCATCTTGGAAGAATCTCATAAAATCTAGGAATTTTATTGCTTGTTGGAATTTTCTTGCTTGTTGGGAATTTTCTTTAATTATCTTAGGGTTGAGCTAAGGCTTAGTGTTGCTTGACTCATTGACTTGACACGACTCAAGGTGAGTTGACACGCGTGACTCATGACTCGTGTGTGCATTGTAATGTTATGTGCTTGACTCGAAAAATGCAAAAAAGCAAAAATTTTCCGTCATTTTTGTGGAGGGTGTCGACTTTCTCCCGAAAAAGAAAGACGCAAAAAATAATCAAAGTGTTTGATGGTGCATGTTGAATGAGCTTAGTCAAATTTTGTACAAGGATTAATTCATCCTAGGCTATCTCAATTGTTGACTCCATGATGAAATTATTTGGGTAACTTAGTGTCACGGTCCGAGAGTTTTGACACCGGATCGTGCGACGCGCGCTTGTCTATTAGGGACAAGGACGCAAGCCTAAAGTAAGTGAGGTTTGTAAGCACACAGCAACACGGACCAAGGTATCTTAAGAAAACACTCGTCAACCACGAGTGCTAAGTCGGGGCTTGTGACGGCCGATACTTCGAAGCGGGCACAAGCGGAACCGACTAGATGAGGGCGTCTTTGGAGGGTCTCTTGGTTTGGTGGGGATGCTTTAAAACAAGGTAAGCACAATATCTATAAAGTCTTAAATACACACAAGTCTTAAAGGAATAGTAAAGGGGTAGAGAGCTTAGATTGAATAACCATGCGCTCCCTAAAGAGCTTTATATTGCATTAGTAGAGAATTACAACTGAACGTTGAAATGAAAGTAACACAATAATTCTCCCTAGAGCCTAGAAAATAAAAGGAAAGACTAAAGAGACATTACAAAAGGGATAATACAAGGAAAATAAAGAAGAATACATAATAAAGAGGTTGGATTCTAACATCCTCCCCCACTTAAGACGTCGACGACCTTGACGACTCACAAACAAACTTACACGCAAAAAGAAAAAGAAATAGCAGCTTCATCCTTCGGTTGCTGGGGAGGTTCTCGTCCTGGTTCTGATGTTGGGGCGGGTGATGTTGTTGCGGCTATAGTCTTCTGCATCTGGATGATATGGTTTGAGGCGACTAACGTGGAAGACTGGGTGTATCCTCATCCACGTAGGCGGTTCAACTTTGTACGCACTCTTCCCAATCCGTTTGATGATGCGGATGGGGCCTTCATATTTTCTGATCAGTCGACGATCCCTTCCTCGAAGAAACTTGAGCTGCTCTGGCAGGACTTTCACCATCACCATGTCCCCCACACTAAATTCCAACGGCCTTCTGTTCTAGTCACCCCACTTCTTCATTCTCTTCGATGCTCGCTCTAGGTAAGCACGAGCAACTTCCATGTTTTGCTGCCATTCTCGCTTGAACTCTCGTGCTTCGCGGCTTCTCCCCTCTTCGGATGTTGCTATCGTGTGCGGCAGGAGAGGTTGCTGGCCCATCACCAGTTCAAATGGACTTCTGTTGGATGTTGTGCTCTTCTGGGCGTTAAAACAAAGTTGAGCAACATCAAGGAGTTTCACCCAATCCTTCTGATTGGCGCTGACAAAATGTCTCAAGTATTCCTCTAAGAGACCGTTGAATCTCTTTGTTTGCCCATCAGATTGACGGTGGTGGCTCGAAGACATATTCAAGTCGGACCTTATTAGCCTAAACAATTCCGTCCAGAATATGCTCGTGAATCTCGTGTCTCGATCGCTGATGATGCTTTGCGGCAGCCCCCAATACTTCACAATGTGTTTGAAGAATAATGACGTCGTCTCCTCAGCACCGCAGGCCGTCTTTTGTTCATCTCCTTGTGCAATTCGAACCTGATGGTAGCCAGACCTTAGATCGAGCTTGGTGAAGTACACCGCATCTCCTAGCTGATCGAACAAATCTGCCACCAAAGGAATTGGATAGTGATTCCTCACCGTTAGCTTGTTTAAGGCTCTGTAGTCGATGAAAAATCTCAAACTCCCAACCTGCTTCTTCTGGAAAAGGACTAGCGCACCATAGGGAGCTCTAGAAGGACGGATAAATCCGGCTTCCAATAGCCCATCTAATTGTTTTTGCAACTCTGCGAGCTCCGGAGGGGCCATCCGATAAGGACTTCTCTCGGGTGGTCTAGCACCAGGCACCAGCTCAATGCTGTGATCTATGGCCCTTCGAGGGGGAAGAGATTTCGGGAGCTCCTTGGGGAGGATGTCTGAAAATTCCCCCAGTAACTCACTAATGACCTCGGGAATGTCCCCCTCCTCCTCTTCCTCCTTCATTGAGAGAGTAGCGAGGAACGTAGGCTCATTCCTCCTAATCCCCTTCTTGAGTTGCATTCCCGAGAGGAGGGGGCCTTTCAATTCTTTCCCTTCTTCTGCTTGGTTGTGTATCCACAAGAGGCATGGTTGGCGGCTTGTCACAAGTAAGGACCCTAGGTGGGGCATCGAGACAGCCTTACTGGAGTGTAGGAAGTTCATCCCGAGAACCAGCTCAAAATCATCCATTGTTGCCACTGTGAAATCCAGAGTCCCACTCCACTCCCCAATCTTCGTGTTCACGTTCCTTTCCACCCCAAAAGTTGGCTGAGCTTCAGAGTTAACGGTCTTCATTTGACCGTCACTATGCACGGCCTTCAGGCCTAATCTGTTTGCCTCCTGCTTGGTGACAAAATTGTGGGTAGCTCCCGTATCAACCATTGCCCGGGCTTTCTTCCCATTTATCACGACATCAACGTACATCAAGCTGGTGGCTCGGCTCTTGTTCCCGGATGTCTCTTTTTCCATTGCACACATATAATACACTGCCCCTAACTTAGAGGGTTCTTCTTCACTGACAACGTCCTCCTCTTTGTCATCTCCCTTAGTAGGTTCTGAGGACATCGAGGACAACTTCTTTTGGAGGTTGTCTATTTCCGCCTTGTGCTGGCACTCGAACCATTTATGCGGTCCGCGACAGAGTATGCAAGTGAGGGGTTTGTTCCATGATGATGATGAGCTGGCAAACCAACCTCTGTTTGTGGATGTCGCGACTCCGCCCTTCCGTGAGTCCTCTCCCCCACTCCTATATATGTTCTCAACACTGTTCGAGCTGGTTTGAGAATTACCACTAGTGCTCTTCGGGGTACTTGAAGTTGACCCCATGTTTCCCTTCTTTTGGTAAGGCACCCTCTCCGATGAATAATCCATCAACCTTTCAGTTGCAGCTATAGCACCTGACAAGGTATCGGTTTTCTGGCGCCATATCTCTCTTTGGGCCCAATCTTTTGGACCTCGCACAAAGTTGAATAAACGGTCTTTCTCCGACATGTCATGGATCTCCAACATGCAAGCCGAATATTCTTTTACATATTCATGAATGGAGGTCTTGTGTTGCAGAGTCGCAAGCTTGGTGCGAGCAACGAACTCAGTGTTTTCCGGGTAGAATTGAGCCATCAATTCTTTCTTTAGATCTTCCCACGTGTCTACCGACGTCCTCTTAGCTTGGATGTCGGCGTATTTTGTGCGCCACCAAAGTTTGGCGTCGTCCACTAAATACATCGTGGCAGTATTTACTTTTAGTCCGTCCTCCAACTCTTCCGACTTGCCTTCAAACCACGCAAGTAGTTCTTCCCATGAGTATTCTGGCGTATCGTCGAGCGACATTTTTCGAGCAACTTGGCTCTGATACCAACTGTAACGGTCCGAGAGTTTTGACACCGGATCGTGCGGCGCGCGCTTATCTATTAGCGACAAGGACGCAAGCCTAAAGTAAGTGAGGTTCGAAAGCACACAGCAACACGGACCAAGGTATCTTAAGAAAGCACTCGTCAACCACGGGTGCTAAGTCGGGGCTTGTGACGGCCGATACTTCGAAGCGGGCACAAGTGGAACCGACTATATGAGGGCGTCTTTTGAGGGTCTCTTGGTTTGGTGGGGATGCTTTAAAACAAGGTAAGCACAATATCTATAAAGGCTTAAACAACACACAAGTCTTAATCAATAGCAAAGGGGTAGAGAGCGTAGATTGAATAACCATGCGCTCCCTAAAGAGCTTTATATTGCATTAGTAGAGAATTACAAGTGAACGTTGAAATGACAGTAACACAATAATTCTCCCTAGAGCCTAGAAAATAAAAAGAAAGACTAAAGAGACATTACAAAAGGGAAAATACAAGGAAAATAAAGAAGAATACATAATAAAGAGGTTGGATTCTAACACTTAGGCACGGAGGATAAGCACTTCGTACTTTGTGATGCAATGATTGTGATGAGTGATTTTGTTATGACGAAGTATGCTTCAATGTTGTGTTAAGATTTCATGACAAAGGGTTCCTAAGGGAAGTATATTTGGTTATGTATCTGTGATGTGTGTGATAGTGACACTAAGGTTAGGCCGCAAGGGCTAAGTGTGTGGAAAAAAAATATATTGAAAAAGAGTCAAATGGTGGTGACTCTTAGGCTGGGTCGGCTAATAATGTAGGGATCAAGCCCCCAAGTCTAGCTGTAAATGAATAAGGATGAGCATTGGAGATCCTTTGACATGATTATGGTGTAAGTGTGAGAATGTGAATATGAATGCATGTTTATTACGGCCGCACCTCGATGTGAGGTTGCCTATGTATCTGTTAGGAATCAGGCCAAACGAGAACCTCGCATAAGTGTGTGTATACCTCAAAAAGGTCTTTTTAAGGGTTGTAACGTGGTTAGGCTAAAGGTTAAAGAAGAAAGGGAAAAAAGCTCAAGACCCTATATAAGCCCCCAAGGTGTGCAACCTTGCTTTTGAATCTTTATATTTTTATGTTTGAGGCATCTCACGTTTGAGCTCTTTATTTTATTTTATTTTTTGCTCTCTTTTTTTGCTTTTGCATTTTTTTATTTTAATAAGTGTGGGCAATCTCAATCATGCGGTCTATCACTCACTTGGCATTCATGTTTCTCAGGCACGGTACCGAGCACTCGATAATAGACACAATCTGAGACGTGTTCATATCAAAGACATGTTCATGTCAAAGACATTGGAACGCTTGCTCTTTTGTACACTTTTATTTATTTTTTTGCTTATTTTTTTTGCTATTTTAATTATTTTGATCTTTTGAAATCACTCAAGCTTTTTAAAATTGAAAATTGCATAAGTTGCACACCATCCCATCCCAAGGTTAGGTAGATATGGGTTGAAAAATGAAAGGTCTATCGTTAGACGAGGCTCAAAGTGGTTTATCAAAAAAGGATTGTGTATTTCAAGGGTGAAAGGTGGTACGATGTGGGGACAAGGGGTGCCTCAAATCATTGGTATACCTTGTACTTAGTTTGACATGGAATTTTTTTTATTTTTTTTTATTTTTTTGGCAATGCAATGATCATAGGTAAGGAAATAAATGCTCATTTTAATTAAAAAGTAAAAAAGAAAAGTCTTACAAAGTAAATCTAAGGAAAATAGAAAGTGCCTATGCTAGACTTATTGGGGAAAGGAAGAATGAAAAAGAAATAGAAAAAGAGGTCATGAAACCTTGAAGCTCGCCTTGTGTCATCATTCTCTCTTCTTGCTAGCTGGAGGTGTGGCAAGCTTGTTATTATAGATCAAATGTTGGATGGCCTCTTTTAGCTTCCAACAACTCTCAGTGGTATGTCCCCTACCTTGATGATACTTGCAATGTGCATCTGGATTCCAACTAGGAAATCTCTTTTTTCAGGTGCAGGATCTTGAACAGGTCCAATGGGAGTAATGAGTCCCTTAGTACGGAGTCGATCGAATGCGGCATCATAGCTCATCCCAATGGGAGTGAAGTCTTTCTTTATTTGCTTCTTAGATCCTTGGTTATCCATGGCCAAGACTTCACTGAGATCAAAGGTACTAACATTGTTACTAGATTGGGCGTTTTCAGAAGAAGAAGGATTGTCGTTCTTCTTTCCTTTCCAGCCACTGTTGTTGCTATTGTTAGTAGCTTTTTGCTTTGCGAGGTCATCTTTGATCTTGTTGCCTATGTCATATACGGCCTTGAAAGTATTCAAGTTGTTTTGATATTTTAAGTGCTTTGAATACTTTTCTTGTAAATTTTTTTATAAACATCCTCACGGATTCTTTTTCAGTAGGGACTTTGATCATGTTAGCGGAAGTTTCCCTCCACTTGTTGAAGAAGGAGGTGAACCCTTCACTTTCTTTTAGTTTTAGCATCTCAAGTTGCCTATGATCGGTTTTAATTTGAATATTACACTTATATCTATCAATGAAAGCATTTTATTCCATCTCAAGTAGAGGTCTTCTCTTTATCAAGGGAGAAAAACCAATGTTGACAAATGGTTTGAGATAGTGAGAATAAAGAGTGAAAAATATTCTTATCAATCCCTTTCATGTTCATTATAGTTTCAAAGGACCTTAAATGAAAGTAAGGATTATCAGTTAGCTTAAACTTAGGGATGTCATTGGCACTGAACTTCTGCGGAAGTAGTTCCTTGTCCACTGAGACCCCTTGCGAGCTAATGCCATGGAACTTGTAATCATTAGATATCTTGCTCAAGCTCTCTTGCATGAGCTCCATCTGTTGTTGCTTTACTGGGTCATTGATTTGGAGGGTAAAGGTCTTTAGCAACTCAGTAACACCAGCCATTTGCTTCTTGAGCTCATTGACTTCTTCTTGACTCGCCATTGTCTTCTTAGCTTTCCTTTTCCAACTCACTGGTTTATCAAAATGTTGAACTTGAACAAAAAGGTTGTCCTTGATTAATCACCCTTCTCTCCTTGACCAAGTATTATGGAAAAGGAAATTAGGGATATTCACTGGAATTATTTGACTCAAACTCTATTTAACATGAAATAGATGGAAGGAGGTTGGAAGAATGAATATTGTGATATGGGAAATGGAAAATATGATGTAGATGGAGAGATATGAAAAAATTAGGAATAGAATGTACCCCCAACTCAAATGACGGAAAACGACTCATGCATAAACCTAAGACATGGTCATGGTGACATATACAAAGTGTTTGATAAGACTAGTGAGTTTAGATGACATGTTAAGACTCGTGTCATGACTATGTGGCTAGACTATGCGACTAGACTCACGCAAAGACTAAGTTAAGACTTCATGTATATGCATTAAACTGGACAGGTTGTGGTATTTTAGTCATAACTTTTGATCTATGACATTGATTGGGATGAAACCAACGCCAAATTAAAGATAAAACTTAGGGCTACAAATCCATATGTACGACTCGTATTTTTTCCCAGAACTCAAGCTATGACCAAAACAAGTTGACGTTTGTGCAGTATACGGGAATAAAAATCCGGTAACTATGACTCGATTTTAAGTTTATTTTTTTTAGCTCAAATTAATTAATTAAGCAAAGCCCTTTAGTTATTGGTTAGTTTATTAAGACTTATTTACAAACACAAGTCAAACCAAACAGTTAGTTTAGTCACATAATAAATATGCACAAGTAAGAGATGCACATGTAGTCAAGTAGTCACAACATGATGCAATGAGTTTGCAACCTAACCATGGCTCTAGTTCTCTAAAGTACGGGATATGGGTTAGTCAAAGAGGGTCCATGGTTATGAGTCTGGATGCACCGCGCAAAAGCCTTACCTGTTGAAGGGTTGGCGCGAGTGGATGGGACCCCGTGAGTTACAAACTCGCTTCCATGGTTTGGTGAATTCTACATTCTCGGATGTACCCTTTGTTGCACAGAGCGTTCAATCAGGTAGATGGAGCATGAATTCCCAGAGGGTTATGTCCATATGTAGAACACATATGGGTTTTAGAAAAGTGAGAAAAACTCAATCAGGAAGTAGAATCAAGCCAACAGTGCTAGAACTGGTCAAAATTTGAACTCGTATTTCTGGCTCGGTATTGGAAGAACACAGCGCTAGCCAACAGAGACCGTCGCCGCAATATAGCCCTGTCGCCTGGCGACAGAAGTGTCGCTCGGTGATAGAGACACATTATCGGCGACAAACTCTGTCTTCTACACGCCAATTCCTACATGCCTTAACAACTTTCTGTGTTCGATAAAATTTTCCAGTTTTTTGCAGCATTATTTCGATCCTAGTCGTGAAAGATATTCCTCAAATTTCCTACGTGTAAAAATTCCTATGTTTTTAACTCATTACGGATGGTCTTTTCAATGAGATCTTTTTTATGCATATGACAATAATGTTAATCAAAATTACGCACATGAAATACTTAGAACTTTTCGAGTCTCATCCATTCATTCTAAATAATTGCCAAAATAAATTTTAGGAATTGAAATAGAAATCCTCCACAGTGGAGTCGCCAAAAACTATAGGGAATATTTCAAGCATTACCCCAAACTTGGACCCCACTGTGATCATACACTTAAGCATGGTGGCATCCAAAGGGAAGGAAGATAGAGCAAAAGAGTCGCCAACAAGTTTTAGGAACTTGTAAACCGTTCACAGGGTGAAGGTTACACCCCTTAATGATCCAGAAGATCGTTAGCTCCAATAGGTTTGGAACCATGACTGGTAGTTCGGGGATGAAGGTACAAATCCAACCTAAAAGAGATTGAACCTGCCCTAATAATAGGCCTCTACTCCATTTGTTGCTGCTTCACAGGGTCTGAAACCCTACACCTATTTAATCTATGTTGGTTGAATATTAATGCACAAATAAATCTATTATTGGCAATCACTTGAATTATAATCA